GTTTTGAGGGGGCATAATTCAACCCACAGCAGTATCTTTGTCATGATCTACTTTCAAGTAATATGTCACTTTACGTATAGTATTAGAATTTTTTATCTTCATGTCTTCCCTCCTAGTCTTGGAGTTATTGTTGTCATACATTTACTTCTACATGTTATAAACCACATAATATGTAGTCATTTGTCTTTGAAAGAATTTTTTAAAATAAGGAAATTTATATTTACCTACATATTTGCCATTTCTAGTGTTTTTCATTTTTCTAGATTTCCATCTGATACCATTTTCATTCTATTTGAAGTACTTCTTCCTTTAAGATTTTTTAGAATGCAGGCCTTCTGGTGATTAATTATTTCACATTGTGTAAGTCTAAAACAGTACTTGGTTGTAGGATTTTGTTGTTGCTGTTGTTGTTGTAGTAAAAGCATATAACATTGTATTTACCATTGTAAACATTTTTAAGTATGTAGTTCGGTAGTGTTAATTATATTTACATTGTTATGCAACAGATCTCTAGAACTTTTTCATCTTACAACACTGAAATTCTATGCCCACTAAATACTAATTCCCCCAGCCCTTGGTAACGTTCTTTCTACTTTGTTTCTATAACTTTGACTGCTTTAGATACCTCATATGAGTAGCATGACACAGTATTTGTCCTTCTGTGACTGCTTATTTTGCTTATTTCACTTTGTGTAATGTCCTCAGGGTTCATCTACGTTGTAGCATGTGGAAAGATTTCCTTCCTAATGCTGCATATTTCATTGTATTATACCACATTTTCTTTATCTGTTAATCTATTGACAGACATTTGAGTTGCTTCCACCTGTTGGCTATTGTGAATAATGTGCAAAGATCTCTTTAAGATCTTGCTGGGAATTCTTCTGAATATATACCCAAAAGTGAGCATGCTCTACCACATGGTATTTAAAAAAATTTTTTTTGAGGAACCACCATACTTTTTCCATAATGGCAACATTCACAACACAGGGCATAAAAATTTTGGATAGTGGTCATCCTGATGAGAGTGAGGTGATATCTCACTGTGGTTTTGATTTGCATTTCCCTAATGGTTAGTGATGTTGGTTTCTTTTTATATGCTTAGTGGCCATTTATATACCTTTTTATTGATAAATGTTTATTGAAGTCTTGTGCTCATTTTTTTTTTTTAAATTTTATTTATTTATTTTTTTTGAGACAGAGTTTCACTCTTTTTACCCAGGCTGGAGTGCAATGGCGTGATCTCGGCTCACCGCAACCTCCGCCTCCTGGGTTCAGGCAATTCTCTTGCCTCAGCCTCCCGAGTAGCTGGGATGACAGGCACGCACCACCATGCCCAGCTAATTTTTTGTATTTTTAGTAGAGACGGGGTTTCACCATGTTGACCAGAATGGTCTCGATCTCTTGACCTCGTGATCCACCCGCCTCGGCCTCCCAAAGTGCTGGGATTACAGGCGTGAGCCACCGCGCCTGGCGTCTTGTGCTCATTTTTAGAGTCGTTTGGTTTTTGTTGTTGTTGAGTTGTAGAAGTTCCTTATAATATTCTGAATAGTAACCACTTTTCAGATGTATGATTTGCAATTATTTTCTTCCATTCTTTGGGTTGCCTTTTTATGCTGTTGTTTATTTTGAGACACACAAGTTTTTCAGTGTGATGTAGTCCCAATTTGCTTGTTTTTGATTTTGCTACATGTGCTTTTGATGTCATATCCAAAAAATCATTGCCAAATCCAATGCCCTGAAGAATTTCCCCTAAGCTTTCTTGTAGTAGTTTTGTAGTTTGCTTTGTCTTTAGGTTCACTGATCTTTTCTTCTGCAATGTGTAATCTTGGGGAGACTTCGGGTGGATTTCTTTGTTCCTATAGTGGAGCTGGTGGAGTTAAGGGCTACCAAGATTTAATTATTCATGTTTATTAACGTTAGTTTGCCTGTCTTTTAGAATGATGAAGCTAGGGGAGTATGAGTTATACATCTTTGGAAGAATCTTTTTTTTTTTTTTTTTTTTTTTTTTTTTTTTTTTTTTAATGAAGCTGAGGAAGGTGGCTGAACAAATTCTATGAAATTCAACCATGTGTGTAAAATACTATTTTTTCATTATTAGATTACTGCTTAAACTTGAAAATTCAAAAACTGAGTAGTTAATGCAAGATAAGACAATTGTACAAAAGCAGAGAGAAAATCAGTACAGTACAACCCAAGCAATGCAGTGCAATGTAATAACAAAACAAAAGCACGGGGAAATCACATGGTGAAGGGAGTCAGGAGAAATGAAGAGGTCAGAGTGAAGGTAAGTTCTTATAAGAGGGACCATATCTTACTTCTTATTATACACCTATCAGGGAAAACAGATGATGTAAACACATTTACTGAGCAACTTCTACATGCCAGGTGTGGTATGGTATGGTTCTATGTACTTTACTCTTTATAACCACACTGTAAAGCAGTTATTAATATGTTTTAAGCGAAAACAGAAAGTTTACATAACTTGCTCAACATGTAGTATTGAGTATCTTTCATACAATAAGTGTTTAATCAACATTAGCTGAATAAGTGAATATATATTTATTCAAATGAAAGACATCTTGTGGCTTCTCTTTGGTGGACATTTCTAATTTTTCTACCAAAGTGCTAGACCAGACTGATAACTACAGACTAGGAAAAGGACCGTGATACTTGATATGCAGCAATAGTAACAATAATGACAGCTGCTATGGTCTAAATGTTTGTGTCTCCTGAATTTATATATTGAAATACTAACCCCAAGGTGATGGTATTATGTGGTGAGGCCTCTGGGAAATGATTAGGTGATGAGGGCAGATCCCCCATGAATGAGGTTTTTACACTTATTAAAGAGGCTCCGGAGAGCTCTTTCGCCCCTTCCATCATGTGAGGACACAAGAAGGCATTATCTATGAACCAGAAAGCAGGCTCTCAGACAGCAAATCCTAGCTTCCACAACTATGAGAAATAAATTTCTGCTGTTCGTAAGTCACCAGTCCATGCTATTTTGTTACAGTAGCCCAAGTGGACTAAGATAGCAGCTAATACATTTAGACTTTGTATGAGTTGGGTCCTGTTTTGATTTACATATATTAACTCATTTAATATAACACTTTGAGACTGAGTACAGTTTTTATTCGTTTGATAGATAAGGAGACTTAAATGCAGAGAAGTTAAACAGCTTATTCAAGATTATCCTGTTAGTAAGTAATGAGGCCAGGATTTGAATCTTGACTAGATCTGCAAGCTGACCTTCACACCTCTGCACTTGTTGCTTTTTTTCAGTTTTACCTGGCTTCACCTTTGGGCTCAGGTCCAGAAGGCCAAGGTTTCCCTAATTTCTCCTTTCATGCCTCTTGTAGTCACTGTGGCAATTAGTGCATTTCAAAGCTAAAGGAATTTGCCAGCTTTTTTTTAGTTACAGAACAATCTGAAGTCATCTAAGATACAAATTTATTCCGCTTTCTGGTGGTAGGAGAGGTGAATTTAAGTCAACCTTGCTGCATTTCCAAGATTACCATGTTTTTAATCTCAAAATGAGTATGGTTAGGATATGGAGAACGAGATGTATGGTTCCATTCTGTAATTCTTCTTGTCTGTGTTCATTTTCTGAACTAAGATAAATGTGTAGCTCAGGGATGCCTTAGGAGACTCTAAACAAACATATTGCCGGGCATGGTGGCTCACGCCCGTAATCCAGCACTTTTGGAGGCCGTGGTGAGCGGATCACAAGGTCAGGAGGTCAAGACCAGCCTGGCCAAAAGGCATTATCTATGAACCAGAAAGCAGGCTTTCTCTACTAAAATTTCAAAAATTAGCTTGGCAGGGTGGCGTGTGCCTGTAATCCCAGCTACTTGGGAGGCTGAGACAGGAGAATCACTTGAACCGGGACCCGGGAGGCAGAGGTTGCAGTGAGCAAAGATTGTGCCAGTGCACTCCAGCCTGGGCTACAGAGTGAGACTCCATCTAAAACAAACACCAAAAACCAAAAAAACATACTGTAAACTTTAAGCTTCTTTAGCGGCAAGCACTGAATCTTTGTACCCTTGGTGCCTATCTCAATGCATGACATATAGGAACTCAATAAATATTCTTTCTCGAAAACTAGAATTGAAGGTTAAAAACAAGTTCTTTAAACTACATACTGAAGACAATTTGCAAGTGAGAAGGTAGTGTCAATGTGGAGAAATGGGCTGTTATTCCCAGACCTTCCTTTCTTAAGAACTTCCAACTTCTCCTTCAAAATTTAGCTCAATTGTTACTTTTTTCCACCACAGCTTTCCCTTCTGCCTAGTTAACATGCACACCCTCAGTGCCCTTACAGAATTATGTGTATATCTCTCAAATCCTATCATAGTATGTGCTCACACTTCTTATTCCTCTTCAATTGAGTTCTTTCTAGGGAAAAAACTTATTTCTTTTGGGATTTAGTTTCTGTTCTGTCACCCAGGCTGGAGTGTAATCGTACGATCTTGGATCACTGCAACTTCTGTCTCCTGTGTTCAAGCAATTCTCCTGTCTCAGCCCCCCAAGTAGATGGGATTATAGGCACACACCACTATGTCTAGCTTTTTTTTTTTTTTTTGTACTTTTAGTAGAGATGAGGTTTAACCATATTGGCCAGACTGGTCTCAAACTCCTGACCTCAGGTGATCTGCCCGCCGTGGTCTCCCAAATTACAGATGTGAGCCACCGTGCCCGGCTGGAATGTTTATTATACTTAACATAGTGCCTGAGAAATAGCTCAATAAATGTTTGATCAATGACTAAATATATAACTACACAGATTAGACCAGGCGTCCCCAAACTGCGGCCCCCTGAGGCCATTTATCCGGCCCCCCGCCGCACTTCAGGAAGGGGCACCTATTTCATTGATGGTCAGTGAGAAGAGCACAGTATGTGGCAGCCCTCCAATGGTCTGAGGGACAGTGAACTGGCCCACTGTGTAAAAAGTTTGGGGATGCCTGGATTAGACCTTGAAACCCAAACCCATTTCCACAGAGGAAAGATGAAACTTTTATTGTTTACATTTATTGAAATACTTAATATTTATTATCTGTTATATACCAGGCAAAATGGACATACCATGAGGAGAGAGAAAACTTAAATCTTACATGTAAGTTGAAACTTTTATTTATTGATTGCATATTGAATATGTATTACTTGTTATATGCCAGGCAAAAGGCACAGAAACAAATTGTTCAGTTACTTTTAACAATTTCAGCAATACCCAAGTCCACTTTACAAAAACTTCATTCTGCTAAGTTAGCAACCATTCATTTTTTTGGTTACTCTTCAGGTACAGTTTTTTCCAGTGTGCTTTCAAATACTGTGTAATAGTGTAGACCACTAATTACTCCCATCGCAATATGAAAGACTAGGGGAATTACCATTAATTTAACTTGTGTCTGACAAAGTAGCATCCAGTGGAGTAAAACCCTTCCTTTTGGTGGCAGTGGAATGGTGTGATACCTAAAAAAAAAAAAAAAAAAAAAAAAAAAAAGAGTTAATTACTTCTCCTGGATATGAATGCTACTAATAGTTTGTTGACTTCTCCAAAACTGATCATTGCTTTTCTAGGTCTGTAATGTAGAGAGCAAAAAGTTAAAAGTTAGCTATTTGAAATAACAAACTACCATATTTTGATTCAAATATATCATAGACAGCTAAAGAATAAACAGAGTTTATTAACCTTAAAAAAAAAAAAGAAGGAAAAGGAGCAACTTACTTGGTTGCCAGACGTCCATTTTTAAGAAAAGCCAAAGAATTGGTTTGCAAAACACCACATACTATGCCAATCAGTGAACTTCTAAAAACACAGTTTTCCTTGCTTATATTATCTGGAAAACAAAAGTAAATTTGGTTTCCCTTTAAAACTCAAGAGCTATTAAGATAGTCTTGTACCTCACACACTAGTTATCTGCATTGTCCTCAACCACAAGTAAACCACAGAAAGAATATCAGAAATTCAAACTCTATGGCATTTAATAGACTAAATGCAGCACATTTTAAAAACACTTTTTATTATATACTTTATCATATACCTCTAATATATGTGATTGTTGTAGAAGCAGTTTTATTTTATTTTTTGGAGACAGGGTCTCACTCTGTTGCCCAGGCTAGAGTGCAGTGGTGTGATCTCGGCTCATTGCAACCTCTGCCTCCAGGCAATTCTCATGCTTCAGCCTCCCAAGTAGCTGGGATTATAGGCAAGCACCACCACGCCCAGCTGTTTTTCTATTTTCAGTAGAGACTGTGTTGGCCAGGCTGTTCTTGAACTCCTGGCCTAAACTGACCTGCCCGCCTTGGCCTCCCAAAATGTTGGGATTACAGGCATGAACCCAACGCACCTGGCCAGAAGCAATTTTATAATGACTAGCAGACTAGACCTGGATTCTAGGATAATACATTTTTATTATTTACAATGTATCAGGAATGTGCTAGGTACATAAAAGAGACCTGATCTCTCACCTTCTGGCCAGTTTATAGGGAAGAAATACATTAGACAAATATTTACATAATTATAAGTATAGACAATTCTTTGAAGATAAGCTGTATAGAGAAGATATCCAGACACCTAATGTGCAATGAGTGAATCAGAGGTCTCCCTGGGGAAAAGATATTTAAGCAGGGACCTGAAGAATGAACGAGGGATAAAGGCTCTATTACTTACTAGTTGTGTAACTCAAGGTCAGGTGAGGGGCAGGAAATAACTATTATGAGCAGGAAAGCCGGTAATATGACAGATATTGTGGTAGGCATTTAACATACTGTTATCTTTTAATTCTCACAACAATCCTGTGGGTTGAGTACTATTAGTCTGAATTCACAGATAAGACAAAGGAGGCTCAGAGATGAAATGACTTGCTGAATGTCACAAAACCTAAGTGGCAAGAGGTAGGATACTGAAATGATGTGTTGTAAGCCACAGCCAATTCTTTTCCCAGGATGTTGCTTATTAGTCTACTTGAACATGCCTCAGTTTGGGTTTTTTGCTTGTCTATAAAAAGGAAAGAATACTATTTATTTGATTAGGAGGATTGTTGAAGGGATTAAATACGATTAAGTACTTTGTAAACTGTTAGCAATACACAAATGTAAAGAATTATTATCAGAAGTAGCAACAGTACAATGTTAATCAGTAACTTTACTTAGACATAACTACAAAATACAATAGTGAATTTAAATTCACCTGAATACAAAGCATCAATTACAAGAAGCTTGTGAGCAACCATAGTAGACAAAAATGGAACTGTAGCCAATGATGCATATGTCTTCAAAGCATCATGTTTGACCTTGAAGTTGTTTCTGAACGTGAAGTTTGTGAATATTCCAGTGCAACCAGCTGTTGTTGCAGTCAATGTTATATGATACATATTTGGTATCCTAATAGAAAAAAAGAAAAATTCAGTTCACTGTAACATTGAACTTAATGGATATAGCCTTTCCTGAAAAGTTGTTATTGCATATTTACTCAGTATCAAATATATCTTGAGCACTCACTATGTGAAAAGTATTTCCAAGTGCTTAAGACAGGAGAGTAAACAAAGCAAAAGAAAAAAAGAAAATGAAAGAAAATCCCCACCTCTCAGAGAACTTATATTCTAATAAAAGGACATGATTCTCTTTCTGAGAATATTTACAGTAGTTCTAAAATAGAGCTCTTTTAAATAAATTTGGCCACAAATAAATATAAATATGTTCCAATGTGGCCAAATTTTATGAGCTACCCAAATCCAAGAATACATTTTCTGTGACTAAAAAGATTTACTTTGCTTAAGTTCATCTAAAAAAAAAAAGCTGTTTACATTCGGTTAGGCCTTCCATTTCTTCATTAGTCCAGATACATTTAAAATAATTTGTCCAAGACTTACAAAACTTCATCTAAAAAAATTTGATCTAGTTTTCTTATTAAGACCCATAGCTAGGGCCAAGCATGGTGGTTCACGCCTGTAATCCTAGCAGTTTGGGAGGCAGAGGAGGGTGGATCATGAGGTCAGGAGATCGAGACCAACTTGGCTAACACCATGAAATCCCATCTCTACTAAAAACACAAAAACTTAGTCGGGCGTGGTGGCACGCACCTGTAGTCCCAGCTACTCAGAAGGCTGAGGCAGGAGAATCGCTTGAACCCAGGAGGCAGAGGCTGCAGTGAGCTGAGATTGCGGTGTACTCCAGCCTGGGTGACAGAGCAAGACTCCATCTCAAAAAGAAAAAAAACAAAATCCATACCTAAATCCTGAAACTAAGCTCAATTGTCCTTTGATTTTATTAATGAACTCTGTTCATTTAAAAGTCAAAATGGCCAGTCTGGCCAACATGGTGAAACCATCTCTACTAAAAATACAAAAGTTAGCTGTGTGGTAGTAGTAGTACATGCCTGTAATCCCAGCTACTTGGGAGGCTGAAGCAAGAAAATCACCTGAACCCAGGAGATGGAGATTGTGGTGAGCCTAGATCGCACCACTGTACTCCAGCCTGGATGACAGAATGAGACTCCATTTCAAAAAAAAGTCAAAATGGTAATGTGAGACTGTATTTATACCACTGAATCTATATTCCCCTTTGCTGTACTAAGTACTGTGACTGAGATAATCCTAAACAGATTATAATTATTCACCAATTAAATATAAGTCCCCCCACAAAGGGTTTTCTCCTAATTACTTTTAATTAAAATATATTTAGTGCACAAATATTTTAGCAATACTTTTGGTTACTTTTAAGGAACATAAGAAATTATCCACAGTCCCAAATATTCCAACAAACCACTATTTTCATCTCTTCTTGTTTTCCCCATTCTTTTTTTTAAAAGATGTGTTCTTCATAACCAACGCAAAGAATAGGATCTTAGATAACAGAATAAATAACAAAGAATTGGATCTCAGAAACAACGGCAATACAAAAAACTTGCAAATAAAATGACTGACTTTCAGCCTGGGTACTTCTCTTACATTTCTTTTTTAAGACATTCAAATTTTTTTCCTATGATTTCTATGATCATTTGTCTTCTGAGTTTTGCGTCTTCTAGAAAGCGACTGGGCTGACCATGCATATATGCTGTCATCTTGACATCCTGGAAAAGAAAATTCCAGAGCCATAATAGCTAATGATATTAATATTATATAATACCTTATAGAATTCTACAGATTCAGATTTAAAAACATTTACAGTTTAGTAGTGTGCCAGGTACTACGTCATCTGCTTTCACATACTTTATGTTAATAATTCAATCAATATTTACTGAGCTCTTATTATCTGTTAGGCAGTGGCTTTTTGTTATATATATTTTTTTCTTGCTAAACATCCTACAATGCACAGATACTGGCTTTCTCATTCACACACTAACCTAAGAAATTGGTGGTATGATGAGTATCTATACAGATGAGAAAACTGAGGTTCTGAAAGGTTTGCTTGCCTTAAGATTTAGTGTAGAAGGATGACATACTGATACTGTTTCTGTTTTCCTTACAGTTTTCCCCTCTCCTGATTCCAAGAAGGTAGTCAGGCCCTTTGTAGTTGTCCTCCTAGTTCTTCAGGTGGGGAAGTGGTAACAGTGGCTGCTTATTGACATCTCTATCCCCAGTTTCTCATGAAAGACTGAACTTATTTTGGAAATAGTGTTGTATTTCCTGGAGAGGTAGGAGAGAGCAGGGATTGCCTTGAAGAACAGTGAACGAGAAAATCAGAAAGAGGGACACTGCTCCAGAAAAGGAACAGGCAGTGGATGGTGGCTACTACTTTGGAGTACATAAATTATATATACCGTTCCCTATTAGCACCTGTGGTGGAAGCAGAGCCTTTGTGAGAAACGGGTATGTGGCAGGGCAGAGGCCCATGGCACTGGGCTCCTCAGTTGTAATGTTCTTGTGTCCTAAGTGTGATAAATAGCTGCCAATGTCAAAGGACCATGAAGATTTGGCCAGTAGCATCTTAACAGAAACTAGAGAGGTTACAAAACAAAACAACAACAAAAAAGCGAACCCTGCACTCTCAGACAGGATCCTTTCTGAAGTTTTGCTCTAGGCAAGACTCTAGGGTCTCTGTGAAAAGTCTTAATAACATTTGTTAAATCCAAACATGTGGTTGCAATATTTACCTATTAACAGCAGCAAGTGGAAGGTCTACTGATGGTAAGTTCAGTGCTCTTTTTCCTCTGCATTAGCCAAACAGCCTCTTCACAAATTTACACTAATCCCAATTTTAATGTTTATATTAAAGGAAAATACTAAATCTCAAATTAAGGCAAGAGAATTAGAGTGGATGAAGCATAATGAACACAGAAGATAAATCAGTGGTTCTCAACCTTCAGTATGCACAAGAATCACGTGGGGTATTTATTTGAAATGCAGTCTCATGAACTCCCTCCTGAGATAACTGGATTCAGTAAGAGTAGGATGAGGCCTAGACTCTCCATTTTAATAGCACTGAAGGTTTCTGATGCTGTAGTCAATGGACATACAGTTGAATATCACTGTAATACTTATTTGCTCAATAAGCAGTATGTACCAGTCCTAACAGTAGAAGGGCCAACTAATTATCCACAGTTCCTGCTCCTGGCATCAACATACAGAAGGTATGGGCTCCTTTGAACCTTCTCATGGTGTTACACAGTGAGTAATGGACCAGTTTCTTTCTCTGCATCATTGCACAACTGTACTCGATATTTTTCTGTAACATTTCTGGAGAGGGCAGGGGGAAAAAAGGTAAAAGATTTTACAAATTACAAATGTTCAGGGACTAGACTTAATCTTTTGCCCCTCCCTGACACCCAAATGTAAAGTATAAGAGACAGTAACATCTAAGGGAGATTTTATACCTAACCCATCTATTGTACTAAAAGGGCAGATGCCAATAACATGAGTAACCATAAACCTTAGATAAATTTTTGTTCTGCTCTCATCCAATTTACTGAAGTCCCCCACCTCCCACCAAAAACGAAAAACAAAACAAACTTCCAGGCAACATCCTCTCCTAATCTCCTACCTAGTCTACACCCTAAACTCTCTATAGGGAAAACAGATACCCAGGATTATGATTACAGGACAGCAAATACTGAATACTGAAAACAACACAGGAAATATTTATTGAGTGCTTAAGCTTTCCAAGGCACTGTTGAAGAATCAACTGCTTTCATTACACCCCTCCCCTTTTAAGGCCACTCAACTAATCACCACATTTATACCAGTAAGGCTGCATATATGTAGGTTTATAGTTTGCAAAGCATTTGACGGTTTTGTAGTGCTTTCAGGTGTATTATTTCACCTAACCTTTAGAATTTCATTCGATGTTCGCTCATCATTTAGGGCGTACCTGGTATATGCCAGGCATCCCGGTAATCCCATCCTTGGGAATCCACAACGTAGTGAGGGTTTAGAGCGATTTAAATGCAGAATGACAGAGTGACATAAACAAAAAACTCAACAAACCAAGAAAAGGCAAACGATCCAGCCAGAGGAAACATGGGAAGGCTTCCCGGAGGAAGTGGCATTTAAACCAATGCCCGAAAGAGAACGATTTGGCACAGGAGTTGGGATGGATAGAAGCAGGAAAATATTCCAAGTTGAAGAAAAGGCCTTTGCAAAGACCTAGAGACAAGAGAAAACAAACTGGAGATAATGAGGACTTGATTTTAGGTCTTCTACGTTCTCTCCGCCTCTTTTCCACAGCAACTGGAGACTTAATCGACTGCTCCTTGCATGGACTTGGGAGCTGTGTACTTTAGCTTTTCAAATCTCCTTTACGTGTATCATCTTAGAAGAGTCTGCCAACACTTCGAAGCTGCAGAAATCACCCCCACTATACCACTTCGGGTTTCCGCCTACCTTGGGCGCTTCCTCAGCTCGCGCCGGCTCCACACCTGAATCCAGTTTAGCCCCAGTCTCACACCCGAGCGCCGCCATTTTGGCGGCTCACGTGACTTGCAGGGGGCGGGGACCCAGAACGCCCTGGGCGGGAAGTGGTGCTGATTTACGGCCCACGCCTCTTGCTTGCCGCCCGGGCCGGCCCCCACTCACTCAAAAGCCGCGCCCTCCATCCTGACTGTGATTGGGCGCAGAATCTAGAAATTACGGCCACTCATTTGCTCCGAAGAGGTCCAGATGCTTACGGGCCCGCCCCCCTCGCCCGCCGAGTATTTCCTCCTCTTCCTATTTGTCAGTCTAGCTACCGCTTCTCCCCGCATCCTGCGGGTAAGATGGGGCGGTCCGAATTTTGGAATGTTGCTGCGCTCCTGCCTCTCCTCAGGGCAGCTCTGTTGGCTGGGAACTAGCTGCCTGCCCCTTTCAGTCCTTGAGGGAAGCCGGCCCTTTGACCTGGCCTCTCTGTTAAAGCTCTGCTTCTCGGGTACCTCCTCCTCAAAACCTCCAAGCAGCCGCCGGGCGCCGTCAGAGCAGCCCCGACTAGCCTCCTCCCCTCTCAGCCGTCTGACTCCTCTCCCCAGTCTGTAGTCCTCTCATTTCCATCCTTAAGCCCCGCTTGGAAAGAGACCGGAGAGAAATTTGCCCACTACCCCCGGAGAAGACCCGTTTGTCAGCCGTGTCTCGGGGTGGGGGGCACTGCAAGGCCTGACGCTATTTTGTGCGCGTTAAATGCCCAGCAGTATCTCCCAGACCGGCAACCCCCGACCCTCCAGTCTCCATGTCTTAGAAAAGCCAAAATTCGAGAGTTATATAATTTCTAGTGCTGCTGTTGCTCCTGCCAGAGGAAACACTTCATCGCGTGAAGGGTGCAGGACATTTCAGTGCTCTTCCCTAAAAGAACGGGGCTTGGGCAGGGGTGGCCAGCGGTGGCAGAGAAATGTCCTGTCTTTTCTGCAAAAGGAAGGTGGGTAGTTTGAAGAGAGATTGAGAGAAAAGGTGGATGTGAAAGCCAAGCAGCTGCACTTTCTCGTTTAGGAAATCGCGGACCGTTTGCATAGCTTATGCTTACATGTCTAATACTACCACGGCGTCTCTGAAAACACCTCTGGGAGAAGGTTTGGCTTCTCTTGAAGTTTCAGTGTTTTTCCTTGCCGGATAGGGAGCTGCTTGCATGCGAAGAGATGGCATAATGTGAATGACTCCAGTGTGAAGAAATCTCCTTCACCAACTCATCCTGCATCAAGTGCCCATTGAGTAGCACTGTCACTTTAATGTCTCCATGCCAAGGGATTGCTTTCCTTTTTTTCAATCCTCTCGGTTAATACATGGGAGGATCAGAATCAGAGGGGCATTAAGGATCAAGCCTGGGGGCTTGGAGAGCACAGAAGAAAAAAATGGAAGTGACAGCAGGCTGGATCCTGAGTTACTGAGAGGGTGAGATCTGGAACTTCTGATCAGTAAATAGAAGGGGGCCTTTCAGTGTATGTTCTGTCCCAGAAAACTGTTCAAACTCACCCACCGTTTTAGAGAATGGAGTCAAAGAGGGTTTTAAAAGATTTTTTTGGGAGGTGGGGGTTAAATTTTTCTCTATAGATTTAAGGATCTTTATCATCGTCTTTGAATTCGACCATGTATAAAGTAGTGAGACAGCTGTCTAAATTTGGTTTGTGCCTTAATTGAGTTAGTTATTGAACTTCCAAAAATGCTGCTGAGTGAAGAGGAATTTCAGTAATGTTTTTTATGTTTACAATAATTTCCCCAGTTTTTAAAAACAGTCTAAAAATCGAAAAACTTGAAAAAGTCAAAAATTACTTTTCTGTAAACTCTGGGCAGTGTATGAAGTTTAGTTGTGGGAAAAATACATCATTATTTTCTTTGTCTGACATAGAAGACTCAGCCTGGATTTCAAAACTGAACAGTGAAGTGGTTTGCAACAGTTACCTGGCTCTTGGCCTCAATCCAGTTGGATCAAACTGAGACTTGAAAAGAGATCTTGAATCCTGTGGCAGTGAAAAGACCCAAGAATGCCAGTCAAGAAGAAAGGTGGGCTATGAGGTTCCTGTATAATATTCTCCCTTTTCTTGGTTCTGGTACTTGTAATTTAAATTATATTCCATTTGAGAGTAAAGTTTTGCTTCAGTTAGGGGGAATGTTTATTGTAATACGGTTTCATTGGTATATCATTCAGTAATATTATTTTGCCAAAGTAAAAGGAAGTAGGAGTATGGTATTTATTGACAGACATTTGCAATTTCATAAATCAGGTTGTTTATATCACCATTTGTAATAAGAATATATTTATTACCGCAGATTTGGAATCTTCTTTAGCTTGTTTTCTTAGCTTGTTAAAGGTTGCTTTTAAGCAGTCTTTAAAAAAGAAACTTGTACAGTGGAGCTCTTCTTTATGGGTTTAAGGTTTATCAAGCTAATTACAGAGTTGTGAAAGATAGCAAAGTAACTTAGTTTGCACTGAACAAAATTATAGCTTTATCGTTTATGTTTTGGTTAAAAAATAGATTTCTTGTTTGGATTTATTTTAGTGTATATCTTTACTTTTGTGATAAAGCACAACTTTCATGACTATTGTGGTTTTCCAGATACATGCATTATCCAATAACATGACTGGCAAGTTCCCCCAAATGCGGCGAACAACTATTTTCTTCCTTCTTCCTCAACAACTTTTATTATTGGACTTGATCAAGATCTAGTGAATTCCTGAAGCATAGTTCATTATAATCCGACCTTGGGAATTCAATTTAGCTTAGATGTACTCCAGGTTAACTTAGTTCCAAAGGATTCTGGTTTGGGACTTGTTTGCCAAACCATTTTAGCAGTTTGGTGGTATTTTTGTTTTGTTTTGTTTTGTTTTAATTCGATATGAAAGATGAGATCAAATGTAAAGAGTTTCTCAAGAATTTTGAATCGGCCGGGCGCGGTGGCTCAAGCCTGTAATCCCGGCACTTTGGGAGGCCGAGGCGGGTGGATCACAAGGTCGAGAGATCGAGACCATCCTGGTCAACATGGTGAAACCCCGTCTCTACTAAAAATACAAAAAATTAGCTGGGCATGGTGGCACGTGCCTGTAATCCCAGCTACTCAGGAGGCTGAGGCAGGAGAATTGCCTGAACCCAGGAGGCGGAGGTTGCGGTGAGCCGAGATCGCGCCATTGCACTCCAGCCTGGGTAACAAGAGCGAAACTCCGTCTCAAAAAAAAAAAAAAAAAAAAAAAAAAAAAAAAAAAGAATTTTGAATCAACGTTTATATGAACATCTTCGAACTCTGCACTGGGTTAATATAGATCCAAATGTCCAGTTACATGAGTTGGTTCAATCTGAAACTAAAGCTCTGGGTGAATTGTTGGGTAAAGTGAAACTTATGTCTGCATGGTGTTTAATTCTTCTACCTGTGGATTTGTTAGGGATGTTGAGAAAAATTTTAATCACTGAGATGCATTATCCAAGCTGATGTTTGTAGAGATGGACAATGTTATATAAAATTTTGGAACACCTAGAATTGTGATTTTTGCACACTGGGATTTAAGATTGGGATTGTTTCCTCTCCCTGCTGTTTCTAATAATACCAGTGACAGAAGTAAACTCTCTCTGAGATTTTGAAGCCGCACCTGTCCAGACCAGACAGAATTGGTTCATCTACAACAAGAATAGTTTTGGGAATGTAGTCAATAAATGATATAGCTCTTTGACTTATTTAACTTGATGTGCATTTTTATTATTTCTACCATTGCTGTAGACAGTTTCTTTTGTATTACCTTAATTTGAACTAATAATGAAATTAAACACATTGTGTGTGTGACAGAGAGAAAGAGAGAGAGAGGAAGAGTGAGAAGGAGAGAGAATGGGAAGGGGGAGGCAGAGAGAAAGGGATAAAGGATTAAAAGGTATGTGGGAAGGAGGGAGAGGAAGCTCAATTGATATTCTAAGTATAACTTAACTAAGCAGGTTAATTAGGAAGCTTATGACTTAGGGTTCTAAACCCCATAGACTGAGTTTCTTAGAAGTTCTTCCCTTCAAAAAACTGGTACAGAAATTGCTGATACATTGCTGAAATTATAATACTTTAGAAGAATTTCCTCTCTTCCCTTCTTTCTCTTTTTCTTTTCCTTCACCTCCCTTCTTTTTTTTTCTTCTTTTCCTTCTTCAATAATGGGTTGACTGATGGATTGAATTTGTTAAGGAATCAACAAGTTCTAATTAGCAAAACAAGTGTATATTTCTATGATACTAAAGTATATATTATATAATTTTCTTTATAAACTGGTCTGGAGAAACAATGTATCTTGCATTTAATCTCTTAAAACTGTTAGTATTATGATACCTATTCTTGAATATTGTAGACAACAAGCCAAACAAGTTATTATGTGTGTATTATATTTTTCTTTTCTTTTTTCTTTTTATTATTATACTTTAAATTCTGAGATAACATGTGCAGAACATGTAGGTTTGTCACATAAGTATGCATGTGCCATGGTGGTTTGCTGCACCCATCAACCCGTAATCTACATTAGGTATTTCTCCTAATGCTGTCCCTCCCCTAGTTCCCCAACCCCTGACAGACCCCAGTGTGTGATGTTTCCTTTCCTGTGTGCATGTGTTCTCATTGTTCAGCTCCCACTTATGAGTGAGAACATGCGGTGTTTGGTTTTCTGCTCTTGTGTTAGTTTGCTGAGAATGATGGTTTCCAGCTTCATTCATGTTCCTGAAAAGGACGTGAACTCATCTTTTTTATGGCTGCATACTATTCTATTGTGTATAGGTGCCACATTTTCTTTATCCAGTCTATCATTGGTGGGCATTTGGGTTGGCTCCAAGTCTTTGCTATTGTGAACGGTGCTGCAATAAACATACATGTGCTTGTGTCTTTATAGTAGAATGATTTATAATCCTTTGGGTATATACCCAGTAATGGAATTACTGGGTCAAATGGTATTTCTGGTTCTAGATCCTTGAGGAATTGCCACACTGTCTTCCACAATGGGTGAACTAATTTGCACTCCCACCAGCCGTGTAA